AGCATGCTGTCGCCATTTAGCTAGCCAGCATTAGCATTATATTTTAACCAGCCGTGAATGCAAGCCTAGCACAACTATGGGCCATGTCTGATCATTTGAGGGCCACTTTAGCTGAAAATATGTGTGTGCGTGTGATTAACTCCTGATGTCCGCCGATTTATTGGCGATCTGCTTTTTCCTGCTCCAAACTCTCTAATTGTAACCACAAGGTTTCAGGTTCAGATTCTTCAACAGTCTAACACTCTCTCAACACCAACCACCTGCTACTGTTGAGCAAGGCACCATTTAACCAATTAGAGGCTACAGTGTGTGAAAGCAGAGTCACTGTTGTCACTTTGAAAAGGCAGGTTGTACAAAGCACTCAGCCAATCCAAGAGAGGCCATTTTCACACTAATGTGGCTAAATGTGAAATGTTAAAAATGTTTAAATGGTGTGTTCAACCACTAAAAACAGATATTTATTTATCTTCAAAGGATGTTGTGATGACAAAGGGGTTTTACAACATGCTGAGGTTGACAATCGTTTGTTACGAGTTACGAAATGACACGTTCTTTTGATTACATAACATTGTTGCGCCCTCAGCAACAGATTCACATGATTGGAGAAACTGCGTTCAGATGTAAAACATACCTGATGCTGGGTGACACCACGCATTAGCAAAATAAAAGCTTGAGGGAGACCACTTTAAGATTTCAGTGATAGAAAAGGAAGACGCTTGGCATCTGTTAGTTACTGTTTTCTTCACTAAATGGCAGTTTTCTTCATGACGTCACACGGCTCTACAGTTGGAGGAAATGTTTGAAATGGGAAAAGAGGGTCTGCTGCTGGGTGTTGGTTTCCCTGCTGGGTGGCACGTGGGTTTAAAAAAGTCAGAGTGAATTCCAGACCCACTCACACAGCCTGAGAAAACAATCCTGTCTGCACCGACTGACCGTCACTCTCACCTCCTCTCCTGTCTGTCAGTCGGTGCAGGACAGCTGGCAGGCTGAGTGTGGATGCATATCTGTCTATGTGTAGGTATCTGGGTTTATGTGTGTGTGTGTGTCGCTCTCTTTGTGTGTGTGATCCTCAGAGGTCAGAGGTCAAGCTGTGGTTCACAGAGAGCCACGGTGTTCCACTCCTAACAGGAAGGGAGGGCACTGTCCATATGCTGTCTTCACTCTCACACACACACACACACACACACACACACACATATAGATTCACACTTTCACACAACATACAGATTGGTCACAAATTCCAGCTGGTACACACACACGTAAACACTTGATTAAAAGAAATGAACAACTTTACTACACTCAAATGTCAACACGTGGACAAACACACACAGCAGCACACATTATGTCGACGCTATGCAGGTTTAATCTAAAAACAATCTCTCCATTTTGATCTTCCAGCCCACATTAAGTGAATTTGTTTCCCTTTAAAGGTACCTTGTGGAGATTTTGACCACTAGTTGTGCTGTGGAGCAATGTTTTTACGAGTGGTTCCACATCTTGGTTGCATTGTCCATTTGAGGTTATTCCACCGATAGACAGGTGGTGGCATTAACTCACACAGAAGAGAAGCGATGTGATAAATGATAGTCAAATATAATTCAAATGGATGTAAACAATGTAGGAATTAAATATTTTTTTTAATTGATTGAAAGTTTTTTTTAAGTAACGAAAAGCATTTAACATATTTATTAAGACAATAAGTTAGAACCTTAGTAAAATGAAATTATTGTGCCAAAATTACAACAACACAAAAATAAAAGCACAACTGAGTAATAAATATGATATAGGAAGTAATACTAACACCAGTGCCTAATAGAATAACAATATAATTAAGATCTGGAAACAGTGGACCATAAGTAATATTTCTATTTATTTTTTTGATAGACAAGTACTTTGTTTGAAGCATACTGAGGCCATAACGTCTGCTCACCTGTGTTCACTTCTTTTGAATGTCACTATATCACACAGTTTTTAACCCTTATTGGTTATTTGTCTGGATAACTATGAGCACATTATACATTCAGATCATTATTAACACGCTTTATACTCACTGAGAGGTCTGACAGCAGAAACAAAAAAAATATTTAAATTAACAAAATCACGGCGATCTTTATAAAAACAACCTCAAAAGTGTGGACGCATGTGGTTTTCAAATGTAAACAGGGACCACATCAAGTCTCAGGACAGCAGCTGTAAAATGAAGACATTTCATCTACTGAGTCTCCCCTCAAATACAAACACTTTTACTTTTCCAACACACTCACTGACACTTGTTTGCTCTCTCTTTTGCATATTAGACACTTCTAATCCCCTTGGATTACTTTATTTTCTCTGCCAGCAGGATGAAGACATACGCACGAGTGTGTGCAGCCAGCTGCATACAGCTGTGTCCTCGTATTGTTTGACGACATCTTTTATAGGCTTTAGAAGGTATGACATGCACACAAGGAGGGCAGAGTTTAGGATTTATTGTACCTTTGTACACAAACATTTTTGAAAAACAGCTGACAGTTGAGTTCACACACACACATTGTTACTTCATACACGATAGGAGAAGGTTCTGAGCAGAAAATGACAAGATGCAAAGAGGTTTATAAGTCAAAGTGCCAAATATCCAAGATGAAGGCAGGAGAGTAATCTGCATTGTGTGACACCTGAAAACATAATCCAAGGTTCCGATCTCCTGTTACTCTGCAAGATATGGTGCATTGTCTTCCTTTTTGTCCTCATCGTATCAATTTAAAAGCAATCTACAAAGATCTCACATAAGCCGAATCAACAGTAAACAGTTTGAGTGAGAGGAAAACAATAACCGTCCCACCACAACAGCTCCACTGACCCAACTGGATACATGTGAAGGGTTGGCGTGAAGTGAGTAATCAATGAAGATTAAATCTGTGCTCAGTGGAGGAAGTACATGTTACATACTGTATGTCAACATAGTATAGTCCCATACAATCTACTACTTTAAGGGATAAAAAACATATATTTATACTCAATGTCTTGGTGGTAGTTTATCATACAGCACTGAAGTATAAGAAAACACTCATCCTCACATCACATCAGCTTTTATTTTCTTTAATATAATTCTGTTCTGAATCTGTTGATAGCGTTGTGAGTGCAGACTGATTTGTCTACAGTCTGATCACACAACAGTAAGTCCTCCTAATGCTTCTCACCCCGAAATAACGCAGGATATATTCAGCACAGACCATTTGGAAGCTCTCCATGTAAAAACACCTCTATCATAGAAACCACTGACCAGTGCTTCTGGATTGGATTTGTAAATAAGATTGCCAAACCAAAGGGGAAAAAAATAAATAATACTCTACCTCATTGTCCTTACAACACTCACTGTGTGAGTGTTTTTGTCTTTTTGGCTCATTTCAGAGAAAACACACTCTATAAACTGAACACAACAAATGGTTTGACAAGTGATATTTGATTCCTTAATCTGCCTCGGAGTTCTTTTGGAGTTTTTACAAACAAACAAAAAGCTCCAAACAAGAAGAAGGTACATCCTGTAACATCATTATCCCCAGGAAAGACGGCTCGACCGGCACAAAGACATAATGAGTTGTTCTCACACCTCCCCATCTGGACTGATCATTTCTCAAGTTAATCACAATAGGCAGACGCGCACACACACACACACACACACACACACACACACACACACACACTCCAGGAATGTTAAGACAAATGTTTAGTGTTTACACTGCACCTCTTGTTGTTGTAGTTTACTTTCAGTTGCAATTGTTGTTGTTTGGGGCTGTAAATCTAACATCCGCAATAACAATCACAGGAAAATGAATTCTCCAACAAAATAAAGGCTTCAAGCTATTGATATTTCGTATTTAAAATATTATTCCATATCACAAGGACAATGGATACCAACTTGCTGTTACATTGTGAGAATCAGAATCAGTTTTATTGTGAAGTAATTCCATGTATCCACAAGGAATTTGCTTTGGAGTAATGGTGCATAACATAAACATAGCAAAGTAAACAAAGCAAGAGAAAATTAAGTCCAAAAATCAAGAAACATGTAGAATAGAAGAACATTACAATAAAAATACAAAAAAACCTATCAAAATATTGTACAGTAAGTACAGTAATACATATTGTATTCATACTTGCCCACGTGACTGTCTGGAGTTCAGAGGCTGTAACAGCATCTACACCTATTATGTCCTTTAAACCATTTCGAGCAGCCGAACCTCAGATGACAATAAGTGAACTAAGTAGTCATAACTCAACCTTTATCAACAAATACATGTTTCTCACAAATCATTAGTTAGTCTGGAGATATGGCTGCAAGTAGATATTAAGGACACGTTTTGAAACTGTGGTGAACTGATGCATCATAAAAGACAAATAGATGAACACCAGCGCCCCCAACGGTCTAATCCATGTTGCTGTGTCATATAACTAACTCGGTATGCTTAACAGAAAATAACAGTACCAATCAATAAAAACAATTACAAGATTTGATCATAAACCGTTTCTAAGAAATTAAATACTATAACTAACTGTCCTGATGGAAGCGAAGAAAAAACATTTTTGAAACGACTGTATTTATAACCGTTAACTATTGTTCTGTTGACGACTTTGTGGATATTCTTGCTCCAGATGTGAAATTTAGGTTTATTATTAAAAAGCAATAATTATTATTTTAAGAAATGAGAATAAGCTATACTGTTAGCAAATAAGTACTCTTAACAAACCAAAGTCTGACAATATATACTAGATATCAGATTAGATAATTATGCAACATGAACCAATAGTGCTACTGATAATCTCAGTTGACAGTCTAGTGATGTAAACCAGTTCATTTTATTAGAATTCAAATGTATTAGACAACAGTAAAATCTTCAAGGAGAGGCTGGATAACATATATGGTCCACCAGTGTCTCCAACTTTGATCTTTTAATTGCAAAAACATGATTGTTAAATCCAATGTCATGCGTGTTCAATTTAGATTAGGATTATATCGGTGAGTGAGGTTAACATGCAGAGAGTGCCCTCTGCTGGGTATCACTGCATCGCACATCAGGAGCTCTCCAGACGATGGACACAATATCATAAGCACCTCAACAATCACATGCCATCCAGTGAAATACAATGAAACAATTAAGACTTGCTTTATTATTTACAATACATTTGTATTGTACTGACATTGCGGTTGTGTAGTTACTAATTCAATTATGATAGATGTTCATGAAGCACATTTGGAAATTATTGTCTTTGTCTTCTTTTCACAGGGGATGAACGTCGTATTCTTGACAAACAGCGGCAGAAACTAACTGTTCAACGAGATAAAAACTGTTTTTACGTTGGCTGAAGGTCTCACCAGAAGCCTTGAGGAAAAGTATTGAATGATGTTCTATAATATTTACATACATTGTTTCATGAATTCATTGGTGATTAATCATCCGTGTACAAAATTAAACAGCCTTGTTGCAGACCTCCCCGACGGCATCCTGCAGCTTCTTAACGGACTCCATCACCAGCCGGAAACTTTCATGGAAGCTGCCGTTCCCTTCCTTCACCCAGGCCGCCTGCAGCTCCCTGACCCACGTCAGGATCCCGTCCAGCTGTTTCTGCACCTCCCTCTGCTCCTCCAGCTCAGCGAGCAGGGCCTGCCGGGCACACACTTCTGCTTCGTAGGCTCTCTGGAGGTCAGCCAGGGACGACTCCAGCCTCAGCACCTCCTTGATGGAGCAGGACCACAGTCACACCACAGACAGATACATCAGTTTCCTGTTTTCAGCAGCATACGCACAGATTATAAGAAGTAGAAACAAACCATATTTTATAACAAATGCACTGCAAGATTAAGCATAAAATAATCTATACTGATCGAACCCTTAAAAAACTGGAGTAACAGACACAAATGGCTAATACATAAAAATGTGTCACATTGTTAAAGGACAATTTAATCTTATCAGTAAGGAACGTCTTTTGAGGCCAAAGACACAGATGTCAATATGAAGGTTAGCTTTCAGACGCATCTCTGAGTCTTCAGCACAAAAATACAAAGTCATCACGTGACTCCAGTGTCATTTCCTTCTGCAATTAATTTTTTTTTAAAATATTTACAGTAAAGTACATGATTTGTGAGTAACGTTAACGTTATAAAAGGCTAAATAAAACAGTGGCTTGTCAGATTTGAATGCCATCAAGTGCTCATTGAGTGATCTCCTAATAACTAATCTAATGACTCCTCCACACACCTGTATGTGCTGGGGGTAGGTCTTGTGGAGCTGGTCCTCGGGCAGGAGGACATTCGTCGGCACGGAGAAGCAGCGGCCGGCCAGCAGCGCTTCCATCCGCTCCGACAGCTGCTTGAACCGCTCCTCGAGGAACTGCTGCAGCTTCCGGCTGCACTCCCTGGCCCGGGACCGGAGGAGCTCCTCGGCCTCGGACGATTCGCCTTTGCCGAGCTGCCTCACACACACCTTCTCCACGACGGGTAAGATGTCGTACAGGCAGTCCTGGAAGGCGCTGTAGACCCGCAGCATGCATGTCTGCGGGGTGAAGCCGAAAAACTGTGTCTCGTACAATTTTAAAGTCGACGGAAGGATATTGTCCGCCTCTTCGTCGAGCTCTCCGCGGACATCCACCTCCATATTTTAACTTGTTTCCCGCGCGCTGTTGAATCGCTGACGGTTCTTCTTCTTCTTCTTGTAACGTTTTATTGGCGGTTGTCAAAACAACGAGGTGGTGCTCTATCGCCATCTAGTGGTATGAAAGGTACAGCGCACTACAGCACTGCCATCGAATCCAAAGCTAGATGCGAATATAATAAGATATAATAAGTTCTGATAATATATAATACGATATGATAAGATATAATGAGATATAATAAAATATAATAAGATATCATAACATATGATAAGATATATTAAGATATAATAAGATGTAATAAGATGTAATAAGATATGGTGATAAAATAAAGGCCAGTCAGTTACTTAGATAGATAGCTAGATAGATAGATAGATATAAACTTTATTCATCCCCAGGGGGAAATTAGAAGCATATATTGTGCATTTCCATACGTAAAATATTACGTATGAAAATGCACAATATATACAGTACAATAAAATAACAGAGCAGATATTGAATTTGAAGAAATAGAATAATAAAAAATAAGATGAAATATAATAAAAAAATAAAAATGCAAAAAATGCACAGTATATACAATGAATTAGAATGATATTAAATGAACAACCAAGTAAACTAAACAATAGTGCAAGGATCACCAACAACAAGCAACATCCTTCAAATCCTTAGTCATTTGAAGGATGATGATCTGGCCAGAGGTGATTTATTATACAGTGTTATAGCAGATAGCAGATACTTGCTGTTAGCCTTATGCATAAATCTGCATTTTTACTTGTTCATATATTTATAAATTACATAAATGAAATATAAATTAAGAACACGAAACTACCAAACCTCAGATTAGTTAAAATATCTTACTGACACAAGATAGTAATGTTTTAGAAATTTATAATTGTTAAGAAACAGATTTGTGGATATGGTATTTATCATTGTTACCATTTAATTCATCCGTTTCATTTTGATTTTATCACTAACAAGTACATTTCTCAAACCTATATAAGGATTTTACTTCATCTGTGATGTTTTGGCACTTCCTGCCTGTTTTTGAAAGGTTGGGAAAACAACCAAAAGCGGATGCAAAACAAACCCAATGAGATGCAAAATGACTACAAACACTGTGCAATACTTACTCTGTCTGTATATAGAATATTACAACACAACAATGATTCTGTCTGTATATATAATATTTTAGTTATTGTGGACTTTTTACTTTTTTAATATTCTTTACTGTTTTATTACTTATTTGCTTATTTAATACTTTAATACTTTTTGATACATAGTTTTTTACTGTGTCTCGTTTGCACTATCCACTATGCTGCTGTAATCCTGTAAATTACCCCACTGCGGGACTAATAAAGGATTATTTTATTTGATCTTATCTTAAAGGGACGTAAAATTACTAAAAATAGACTCTGAGTTAGGGTGTCTTATTCCAATGAAATCAGGATTTCTAGGACCAAGTTGTTGTTGGTTTTGGAGGATTTCCTGTATTGTTGTGCCTGTATGTTGCTGAAATGTTTTTTTCAAAATCTAACACAAAAATAACTTACGTCATTACGTTTTACGTACATCGGGGGGCACGCCCCCTGGTTCGAACGAAAGGGATATGCGCGTGCGCTTCCTTCCTCCACAGCTCCTGCTTCTCTTGGTTCTGCCTGTGTTGATAGCGGCGTTTGCTTTCACACGTGCAATCTCTTCTATGTGAAGCTCTCGCTGTGGGACCCGATTATAAACGCACCCTGCTCTATCAGAATAGGTAAAGTAAACATCGGAGTTGTGTTTGATTTTTCTACAGCTGCGCAGCCGCTTGCGTGTCGGGGGCTGGAAGTTTAGCTGTGTTAGCATGGTGCTGTTAGCTAGCTAATGCGTCTACTTTTTGTTGTGGTGTTGCTAACGTTAGCTAGCAAGCGAGCTAGTTGAAGTATAACAAAAGCACGAGTTCGGTTATAGGTGTGTCTACTACTAGCTGTGAAGCTAACACGTGATGTTTCCTCCGTGTGGTCTTGTTTCCAGGTGTAAAGCCATAGTAACCGACCACCATGGGGGCTTATCTGTCGCAACCTAACACGACCAAGACCTCTTCCGATGGCGGCAACGGCAACATGAGCTACGGCTTCTCTGCCATGCAGGGCTGGCGCGTGTCCATGGAGGTGAGGCGGAAAATGAATGACCGGATCAAAAGACAACCATGTTGCCGCTTCTTGAACGCAACGAAAAGAGATTTTGATTTTGAGTTGTAAATGGCGGGATAAAGGGTTTGAGGCCTGTTTCTGTATGTATGTCTCAGCGTAAGGCTGGCTGAGATATTTCCACAGCACACAGAGTCGCACCTCGTAGCATCAGCTGCAGTGATGGATTAAATCCACGATTTACCCACAGGGTGTTTTTGGTATGCTGAGTTGCATTGTAATAACACTAGAGCATGTGATTGACGCCTGCGGTTTGACTCTTTGCTGCTCTCATAAGAAAGTACAACCAGTGTCATTACCTCATTCTGTTAAGTCACTTCTGATGAGAGAACCAGTTAATTAGGAATGATACACCATCTCCCAATACAACAACCAACAACCGTACAATTGCTAATCAAACATATGCGTGTGAGTAATTCAGCTAACAGACATTTGTGGATGTGTGTAATGATGAAACACAAGGCTCATCAACAGGTAACAGAAATGTTGTTAATTGATGAAAGTGAGTTGACCGATATAGGTATTTAAATTATATGAAGATAATATATAAAGGTCTCCCCTTAATGTACAGGTTGCTTTTACAGAAGAGAGAATTCTAAAACCGTAAGTGTTGTCTAAATTGTCATGTGCATTGTTTTGTGTGTGTTGTGCCACAGGATGCTCACAATTGTATCACAGAGTTTGATGAGGAGACGGCCATGTTTTCGGTGTATGATGGACACGGAGGTAATGCACACACACTGTGTTCCATTCATATTATTTTGCAGGATAAATTGTGGCGTGGAGAGCATTTATACACTAATATTAGTTTGCGACTTAGCTAAGTCTGGAGCTAATGCGGATAAGACACACTGTGCATAAATACTTTTCAAAAAAACAGTTTCTCCCAAAACTCATGTTCAGCATCACAAACAGCAGTCAGAGACCCAATACCCCTTTGATTTTTTTTAATCGCAACACCCATTTTTGTGACGTGTTTCTGCGGATTTTACCATTTTCATTGTTTATTTTACACACCTGAGAACTTCGTATTCACGAACCTATCCTGAGAATTTATACAACTTGCTGTACCATTTAGGTGAGGAGGTGGCTCTGTACTGCTCAAAGTACCTTCCTGACATCATCAAGGAGCAGAAGACATATAAAGATGGCAAACTTCAAAAGGTGAGAAGCCACAGACGCCATGGCACGGCCCGTCTTAAACAAGTTCGACAGATCAGACGTCTTCACAACCAGAGGCCTGCTGCTTTGAAACACGATTCCCATCAACCGATATTACACTGACGCTTAACCTTTACTGACACACGTTCGTTTCTGCGTGATGTTTCCAGGCTCTGGAGGATGCCTTCTTGGCCATCGACAGCAGAACCACCACGGAGGAGGTCATTAAGGAGCTCGTACAGATTGCTGGGCGTCCCACTGAGCCACCGCCTGCTGTAAAGGTGGCAGAGGAGGACGATTGTGAGTACACTCCTAACAATGAAGTGTATGTGGTAATGTTTGATGTGGATGTGTTGTAAGGAACGTATAACAAAGCGCATTCATGTTGAATAGTACAAAGGATTGAGGGTATTGACATGCAGCAAAACGCAATAAACTAAAAGTAATTATGAACACAAAACATCCTGGAGTGCATGCACGTACGCTGCAGGTAGTTTAAAAATAGGGATGTTAAATCCTAATTGTAATGACCTCATCTAAATGTCTCCATACTTCTGCCCTCCTTCCAGTGGACACAGAGGAGGCCGCTCTCCTCCACGAGGAAGCCACAATGACCATAGAGGAGCTGCTGGTGCGCTACGGCCAGAACCTCAATGCTGTCAAGCATGCAGCTGCCATCAGGTAGCCAAGCACATTTTGATTTCTGGTAGTTCTTACTAGTTTGAGCCTTAAAGAACCTGTGAAACCTCCAGAGGCGACAAGTCAACTTATACACTAATCAGATTTGCCTCTTTGACCGCGAATCATCCATCACATTAAGGAAGTAGTGGTAGTATTACATGGCTACATTGTTGTTTTTGTCTTTGGACACATTTGTATGTAGAGTGTGTATATTTGAATTTAAAAATTATTTAAAAAAACTGAAAGGCAGAATCCTCTTTCTTTGCTTTAGTAACTCGGTGAGTCCAGGTTTCTTTGTTTGTTGTGTAAACAGCAGTTCAAGTTTAAGACTCATGTGGTTGGCTTCTATTTTTGTTTTGTTCGTAGTGCGGCCGCTAAGAAAGCGTCCTGCGCGCAGCCCGAGGCCTCAGGAGACAAAGAGGAAGGTGAGAAAGGACAGAAGGAGGTGATAAATGGAGAGGTGGAGGAGAGCAATGGGAAGGCGAAGAAAGTTGAAGGAGCGGCATGTGGGTCGAAGCTGCGAGCCTGTCGGAGAACAGGAGGTGAAGGCAGCGGTCCAGGTACGGAGTCTTTAACATTGTTGTCCTCAAAAAGATAACATGAAAAAAAACGCCTTGTTATTGTTCTAGTTTCAAACTAATTGGAGAATTTAAATTTGTATCCTTTTATGTGAAAAGGGAAAAAGATTTGCCTACTCAAATAATGCAATTTTATCTTGGGAATTTACTGTTGTGTTAAAATAAATAAATGTTGAAGTGAGTAGAAAAGGCTTCATGAGCACCACATCGTTATCTGAGCACCCAACGTCCTCTCTGCAGCCGCTGACTCTGGAGGTTCAGGAAGCTCCAATGGAGAAGAAAAGGCTGGTAAGGCCGAGGGAGACGCAGGTCCTTCCTGCTCCTCTTTGTCCACTAAGGATGCCGGAGAGTCCAAGTCCAGGTTTTTTGACGACAGCGAGGAGTCTGAGGAGGGAGAAGAGGGGGAGGGCAGTGATGAAGAGGTGAGAGCAGGAAACCGGAATAAACTGTCCTACTCGGCTGGGAAAGCTCTCTCACTCTGATGGCTTGAAATAACTGAAATTGTAATTCTCCCCTTTTTCTGTTTTTTCTTTAATTAGGCTGGCAGTGAAGAGGAAGAGGGTGACAGCAGTGAGATGGAGGAAGAGGAGGATTCAGATGAGGGAGACTCTGAAGATGAAGAGGAAGAGGAAATGTGCCTACCTGGAATGGATGGCAAGGAGGAGGTGTGTACAACGGAGATTTAAACAAATCAACAGTCCAGCTGATACAAACATTGTGCCTAATGCCGGGGATATAGGCTGACTCGACTTCTTGATAATCTTTTTAGATGTGTTGAAAGATGAATTTCAGTGAAATGGTCAAGTTAGGAGTGGGAACAGCAATTTAGTGTTTATGGAGTTAATATACAGATAAATTAAATTTTATATCATCAAAACTGTCAATTTGTTGTCATAGTTTTGGTTCTCTGAGTACCTTCCTCATACAAGAAGTTGACATTGATCACCAAAACATCAGGACATCTTTCCACTGGTAGCTTGTACCGGAGTCTTGACATAAATTGTTGACCATGTCTTATAACGCGACATGTTGTCATATGCAAATGTTAATTGGTGGAATTAGTCATATTGAAACCATTGTACGCGACCCTTTCCACATGATACAAAAAAAATTAACCAAGATTTTTGCTTGTCATTTTAGAGGGCTGACCAAGTGAGCAGTAATTGGTTTTTAGCCATTTAAAGAGCTCAGTTGGAATTTCCAGCTGTGAAGCAAATGAGCCGGCTGCAATGTGTTGGATAGCCTCACTGCAGCAGAAGCAGAGTTTAGTGATTTGTGAGGACTTTGTGTAAATGAAAGAAGCTTTGACGGCTGCCTGAAAGTCTTTTCCCTGCAGAGAAATGTCTGAAAGCTTTTAAGTAGTTCATGGGGTGAAATAACATACAAAGATTGTCCAGGTTCTTTTTTGTGGAAAGATGAGATAGTGTTTTAATTAGTGCTGGGCAAGTTAACGCGTTATTATCACGTTAACGCATTCATTAATTAACGCCGACAATTATTTTAACATGCGTTAACGCATTTTTAAAATTTATTATTATTGTAACAGACTTTTCTCATGTTTATCGTTTTGTGTTGGAGATGATATGTCCCTTCAGGGTTGCGTAGAGAAAAGGCGACTTCTGCTTCTGGTCGGGGGGGGGCAGAAATAAAACCCTAGAGACTACTGGACATCGCTGCGGTAAAGTCAGCAGACACTTACATGTTAGTGCACCTATATGCAGAAATTCAAGGTAAACTGATTTAAACGGCACAGATCGGGAGCGACCGAAGGACTTTGAAAGTTAGCGGAAACATTAACGTGAGACAACATCCGGTTTCTTCAGACGAGCATCCGGTTTTCAGAATAAGATGTCAACAAAGTATAAATTATATTCACATTACGTATAAAACATGCTACCTGCATCTCGTGAACCAAATGTTATTGCCCTTTTGTTCATATAGCAGTACTTTTAAAATAAAAGTGCGCAATACACTACTTTTGAATTCATTATTGAACTCTGCCATAACAATGCGATTAATCGCAAACAATTCATGCGATTTAAATATTTGAATCGTTGCCCAGCACTAGTTTTAATGTTGGCGTAAAAACCTCCTGGAGGTTTTAATAGTGCATCACATCTCACATGTTCATGTATTCACAGCCCGGCTCAGACAGCGGCACCACAGCTGTCGTGGCTCTGATCCGAGGAAAACAGCTGATCGTGGCCAACGCTGGAGACTCTCGCTGCGTGGTGTCCGAGCGCGGTAGGTCCAACTGATTTGGTGCCTATTTACCTTAATAGACGTGATGCATTGTAAATAAACGTTTAAAATGTCTGTTAATTAAACTATTGTCTACGTTTTGGCTTTAAACTGCATAGTGGCAGATCTTTTTAATACAAGGCTTTTCAGTAATGTATTAAATGTAAGAGCTGTGTTGCCGTAGGCAAAGCTGTCGACATGTCGTACGACCACAAGCCAGAGGACGAGGTGGAACTCGCTCGCATCAAAAATGCTGGAGGGAAAGTGACCATGGACGGACGGGTCAACGGCGGACTTAACCTCTCCAGAGCTATTGGTATGGCTGACTTTCTGTGAGACTTTTAGATCAGTCTTGTAAGCGATCATATTTATTGCAGCAAAATTAAACCAAACAGCAGATCTTGTTCAATAATATATACATTTTTTTTTCGGGGGGGGGGGGGATGCAGAATGAGTTCCTAACTTGGTCTCTGGCTCTCAGGCGATCACTTCTACAAGAGGAACAGGGCTCTGCCTCCAGAGGAGCAGATGATCTCTGCGATGCCAGACGTCAAAGTTCTGACGCTTAACGGGGACCACGATTTCATGGTCATTGCCTGCGACGGCATCTGGTGAGTTTTAGCGGTTATGGGCAGTTTATCCCTGTAGTTGATTATTCGTTAAGATTCATAATAAACCGTAGTCTTAAATATGAACGATTTCCCCAGGCCAGTCACCATGTTAACACACGTGAGGTTTTTTTTTGGGGGGGGTTTTCAGCCTTTTGATCCGTCATGTAGTTGTTGGTCAGCCCTGTTACCATATGTGTTGTGTGCAGGAATGTGTTGAGCAGTCAGGAGGTGGTGGACTTCATCAGCAAGAGGATCAAACCAGACAAGAGCGGCAAAGTCAGAGCCCTCTCATCCATCGTGGAAGAGGTGAGAGAGAGCTCCTGATACATACTTGATGCTTGCATACATAATACCGATCCCAAACCAGCCCCTTTTTAAGTATTTTATGAGTCATTGAGCTTTTATTTGTTGTTCGTCATTATGCTATCTAGCTTGTAGCCTTAGTTGACTCCCAAACATTGACTAACGTACATCACGTTTCTCGTGATTAAATATGTTTGTGCCTCTTTAATTTCAAACCGCATGTGTCATCCTGACAGCTGTTGGACCACTGTTTGGCCCCCGACACATCTGGAGACGGGACAGGATGTGACAACATGACCTGCATCATCATCACCCTCCGGCCACACCCATCCCCTGCTCAGCCAGACGACACGAAGAAGAGGAAGAACCAGGGGGAGGCAGAAGGAGCCGAGGCGGGGGAGAGCGGAAACAAAGGCAAAAAGGCTAAAAGCGACTAAAGGCAAAGAGAAACTGTCCCTGAGGGAGCAGCTGGTCCTAGGCTACCCAGATACACCAGAGACACGTTCTGTTTAATCCTTACCTCACAAATATGAATTCACCCTAAAACAGATATTACGATTGCTATACGTAAGATCAGCTGAACTAAGATCGTCAGTATAGTTTTTTTTTTGTCCTCTGTTTCAAGCCGATTCTCTTTAACACCCCCTCCAGTTTCTTTGTTTTTGCTCTCGCTGGAAAGAAGCTGGACATGCATTTACTTCTTTAAAAAAAAATTACATAATGACTCGCAGGCATGTTGAATAGCACATCATTTTCCAAGTATTTGTAACTAGAAGGAAGATGCTGAACGAACCAGTCTACCAGACATTCACTGCACTCTGTTGTTGTTAAGATCTTTTTCCACACATGGCGGTTTCACCATTTAGTTTTAGTGGAAGTTTGAGCATAGCTCTCGTAGTGACCCGCGTCTGATTGCCGTTCACGTTCGACAGTGTGACGCATGCATTTTCATTGCAGTTTTGCAACATGTAACCGCACAAAGTCCTCTGTATGTTGTGTTCAAATTACAAGGCATTCATTGTATCTCAAAGTGCCATAAAAGACACAAATTCCTTTTTTTATAGCCACCCCATCACATCCTCAAATTTACTCAACCCAGAGAAGGGACCCGAAATGGCTGCAGATAGATTTGCAATGTATGAAGGTAACGGTAGAAAAAGTGATTGAATGAGAGGATATTATTGTATTTTGTAGCCCAAATTGAAGATTAAAATTGCAGCAAGAGTGCGCTTGTTAGTCCAGCGTGGCATTGAATGTGTTGTTTCAGTGAGCGAGAGGGACAGAAGGATTAACAGTACTAGTCCAGTTGCTCTCGTTTCCATTTTATATGTTTCCCCCTTATTAGCACCCATTCACAAGTGAGGATCATTTTTTTCAGTCTTGCTGGTTACACAACAATACATCACCGTCATCAGCCTTCTCCCTCCCCCCCATTCCTGCTTTCTGTCTAACAAAATCTGTAAATTTCCATCGACACGATGCCAGGGTTTTGTGAGCTTGTGTACTTTTCATCTGTGGGATCTGAGAGCAGGGAAACGGGCAGAGACATGAAAGGCTGTTTGCCTTTCATGTCTGTGTGTCCGTCCAGAGCACGGTGGTGATTGAAGCCCTGGACCGGCCCTCCACACAAAGCTCGTCTCCAGGACTTTCCCTACTCTCCCCGTTTGTCCTGTTTCTATTGTAACACCTTTTTAAGATCTTCTTTAGAACATGTGTTTTAAGTAAAACGTATTTCCACTCAAATGTTTTTTTTTGTTTTTTTTTTGATGAATCAGTTATTGGCAGTTCATTTTTGTGAGCACACCCTGAAAACGCCCTGACGCTGAACTGTAGAAGATGCACAAGGTTACTCTTTGAGTGGAAATACAATTTGAACTTCAGAGCACTAAGACAGTGTTGCTGTTGAGAGTAATTGTCTTTATTTGCAGAAGCCTCATTAAAACCATTGTGTGACTGTACGTTTGTTTCTAGTGTACTATCTTGTCACCATGCCCTTTTTTTTTCTGTACATAATTTTTTCAATACTTGTAATTGAAGAAAAAGAAAATGCCTTTTCTTCGTAATTGTGAGTCAATGTGACATTTTTGGTGCATACTCTTTTGACACCAGTATGTAAGTACATACAAATACATTTTTTTAAATAATGAGAACTGTATTCCTGTGTTTATTTAAAACAACCAGTGCCGCATTAGCTTTTTAATGATTTTTTTTTTTTTTTTTTAATTGAGAGATTCTGCTCATAGATCTGATATTGAATCAAACACAATATTTTTATCGGCCATTTTTCAATGCCAATCAAACTAAAGTTGAGTAAATCAGAACGCAGCATCCTGTTTGAACAAAGGACTCGATGTCAATGTTTTTGATGGTTATTGAGAATCCGACTCGGAGTACATGACTAAATGGTTTAAATGCTGCTTAAGATAAATTAAATGCATGGCTCGATAATACAACGCAAATAATATTTTCAGTGGTTAAATGCTGCCATCTGACTTCCAAAAGTCACAATGTTCATCTGTTACTTTGGTCCAGCACCAGACATCTCCACAACTACTGGACCTCTCCTAGTAGCCCTCTACCAGCCAGACTGACAGAACACCTATTTCAGTAGATGATACGTTCTCTGAGGATGAACTCTTTCTAGAATGAGCTTTTGTTGAGGGCGTGCATTCGGATGTTGTGACATGTTTTGCGCTGCAACTGCATCATTCCAAAAGGATATTCGCCCTGAAAGTGTTCTGTTTTGTCAGGCAGGAATGAAATCTTTCATTTTTGCTAAGTTCCATCTTCATTTAATATACACAGTAACATACAGTGGGTACGGAAAGTATTCAGACCCCTTTAAATTTTTCACTCTTTGTTTCATTGCAGGCATTTGCTAAAATCAAAAA